TGATTAAAAACCTGCTGCTTCATTCTACTGGTCATCTTCAGCGCGCGCAGCTCAAAACAGAAATGCAGAACATTAATAACTACTGTCATATACATAACGTTATAATGAGAGCTATTGTAAAAAAAATTTGTGAATTCTTAGGGTTTTGCTGACGTTTAATGTTAACTATCTTTTAATCAAATCATAAAACATTATTTACCCTGTTTGTATCTGCGAGGCGTCCGTTACACATTTTCCCTGTGTTAATGTAATTATGACTGTCGAATGTCTGACTTGACTCTTGTTAATATATTTTGCCCCCCGCTCCCAAACATATGATTCGACTATCAGTCGAATATCGGCAAGATTCGAAAATTCCGATTCGACTATGAAAATCCTTAGTCGAGGACACTCCTAGTGCCCACTCACAGAATGAACCACTTCTGTTTTTTATGTAATGCATTTCCAATTATGAATTATGACACAGCTTGATCCATTGGGTTAAATTGCTCTCTAACTACATGTAAACCGCTCCAGAGCTGATTTTCAATTGGACTGAGACTACCACATTCACATGATCTCTGACCAGTTATTTTGATGTGGATCAGAGCATGACTGCAGTTTTCATTTATAACTAAACAAATCTAAGGGAGAAAATGTGCAGAGTCCAAAACTAACATTTAAAAAAAGCCTGGGATCCGTTCTTCGTATGACGCTAACTCAGTTAGCTGGATTTGACTGTTGACGATTTGGCATGATCTTGGATTGTTTGGTTCTTCAAAGCTCATCCCGGAGTTGCTGTCATAGCAACAGGTCCGTAAGATTAAACCTGCTCGGGAGCAGGCTTATTTCATGTAAACAGGATTAGATCGCATATTTTTAAGCAAAATTGATACTTAAAATCTGTCCCAGCCACTGCTAATTTATTAGAAGAGTACCCTACTGATCCAGGAACAGTAATTTAAAATAATAATAATTGAAAAATTAATTGAAAAATAATATAATTTTGTTGTGTAGTCTATAATACTATAGACACAGCCAGTTTTACTCATTGAAATATTTATTAATGATAAAATAATTACTTTATAATTGCATTGGAGTCTTGCACACATGCTATACAGTTATTCTGAAAACTTTAATTAATGCTGTCACGTAACAAATCTGTTTCAAAGATAACATTAAATGAATTGCTAATTACAACATGGAAATAAAAAATATATAAAGCCTGTACAAATACTATAAATACTATAAATGTGAATATAAATAATTGGGAATCATGTAAAAAAAAAAAATAATAAAACAAAAACAGTGCACATTTAATTTATCTATTATACCATTTATGTAGTTTTTTTTGTTTGCTTGGCTGTTTCCTTATAAAATTCCAGAAATTTGTCAAGTTTTTCCCTTTTCGGGGAACACGAGAACATGCAGTAATCTTAGACAACTTAATCCATATATTTTAATCAAATTCGCAAATTTGTTTGAAGAACCAAATTAGCCAGAGACCAGTTATCACGATTAGAAGATTTGGCATCTTTCAAATCATCTCAGATGTATTAAGCGAGGTACGAAGAATGGGCCCCAGGTGTGAAAACTCTGTGTATAAGTGCATAGTGTATAATACGTAAGGAATAACTGACGACGGGCCGTTGAATTATTAGAAAAATAATGCACACCCGAGGTGGTGATGCGGCCACGACGCGAAGCGGAGATTTAATTTAGACCTATTAACGGGGGACTGAGCCGCTGATAGCAGACTTATGCAACTATTTAATGAAGTTATTAGAGAAAGAGAGAGAGAGAGAGAGCATGTGAATTACCTCTGTGAGTTTGTGTGTCTCTCAAAAGTGTTCGGCAGCAGCGTCTCTACTAATAGTGAAACTTTAAGTTCATTAGATGTATTAAGCGAGGTACGAAGAATGGGCCCCAGGTGTGAAAACTCTGTGTATAAGTGCATAGTGTATAATACGTAAGGAATAACTGACGACGGGCCGTTGAATTATTAGAAAAATAATGCACACCCGAGGTGGTGATGCGGCCACGACGCGAAGCGGAGATTTAATTTAGACCTATTAACGGGGAACTGAGCTGTTGATAGCAGACTTATGCAACTATTTAATGAAGTTATTAGAGAAAGAGAGAGCGAGAGCGAGCATGTGAATTACCTCTGTGAGTTTGTGTGTCTCTCAAAAGTGTTCAGCAGCAGCGTCTCTACTAATAGTGAAACTTTAAGTTCATTTTCTTCATGAACAGCGCCGTCGTTACCTCGCTTGTGAGAAATGTCATGTAGCTTTTAAGTTCCTAAACTATTTTACTGATAAAACTGATAGCGCTAACAACATAAGAGCGTATGTATCCGTGTGTGCAAACTATGTGTGTGAGTCAAGGGAGAGAGAGCGGGAGAAATAGAGTATGTGCTTTACGTACATAATAAAACATAATTTTGTGGCAAAACATGGAAATAATCTCGTTTTTATCCTATTGCTTACTATATTTATTTGTTTGGCCAGTGTCGTTGTGGGTTTTGGTTATTTTGCTGTTGTAAGCTGTAAGGACTTTTGAAATAACTGAAATCATTTGGCAAAGTGATATTTACATGTAATGCCGTCTAGAGCTGCCTGGAACTACGTTCGCCATGCGTTTCCCTGAAAATAATTGCACACCTTAGAACGTTGGTCAGCCAATCAGATTCAAGCATTCAACGGCCCCGTAGTATAAATCAGAACTAAAAACCACTGTTCAGTTGTATGATATTCTTACATAACAGAATGCATGTACAGGTATATGATTACAGAGTAAACCAAGGCTTCTTACCTGACTTCACAGGAATGGACACTTAGCTCTTTGTGCAGGAGGCCACTGGTCAAGTTGTACACCAGCACAGAGCCATTGCTTGTACCTAATGGGCAAACATGTAAAACACACAAATGAATGCTGTAATTGGCAAGTTAATATAACTGGATTATTATTTAAATCATCCTTGATAAGTCATTGATATTATTATTAATAATAAAAAAGATCACAGTTTTAATTAAAATCATTTCATTATCATTTTCATTTTTTTTTTTGCCTTTGATTACAAATACTAATCATCATAATCATCACAATAAATAATATAAATAAATAATTTGTAAACATTCTCAGAAATTTGAATGACACAGTTCATAAAACAGCCTGCTCATACTGAACAGAACATCATTCATCCCGTCAGTGGAGAAGAGAAGTAGTTGATAGATGTGGCACTGAGAGGAGATATGAGTGAGAGTGAATGAGGAAGTCTAAGAGAAAGTGAAGTGTTTCAGAGGGTTTATTGATGGGCCCAGGGCAGATGGGCACAGTCTGGGTGACAGTTTATGTTAAGGGTAGGTTTTTATTTTAGCGTTTGTAGAAATGTGCCGATAAAATTAATCAATGAATCATGATTCTACTTATTCTGGAACTGCAGTGATATAATCGATCCTTGCATGTTTATTAATGTGTTTTATTAAATTGTGACCAAACATCCACTGAATTCAAATGAAAACAATTGAACAAGCACAACTGAAGTTGTGATCAGCAAACAGCAACACAGACGCAATGCACGGACTAGTGACAACTACTTGACAAATCTGTGCAACCCTAAATTGAATGGGATGCATTTCAAATTGTGAGGTTGTTGGTGATACTCAGCCCTAAAAGAGATATGTATGGTGGCCAAGACAGCTTGTGCTGCAACTGAAGAAAACATATATGTAAATTAAAAAAACACCAGCAAATTAAGAAAACATCATTAGTTTGACAACACGTGCTGCAAAAACTCACAAAGCAACCAAATACATACTGTATATGCGCTGCAAATACCCACATTGCAATCAAATATAGAAAATCGATGCAAATAGAACAGACAACAACAGAAATGTTTCAAGGGGACTCCAACAAGTTGTGGAAGTTACCCAGATTACATAACGTTTCACAATTAATTGTGTATTTTGTCAGATTATTTATACTAATAATATCCAAACGGCTAAGGAATCATACAATCAGGATTTTAAAATCATTTCAGATCATCGGCAACACCACAAGTACATATTGAACAATAAGCATGTCCCAGCCAGGTTCATCACTTGTTGGGGGGTCCCCTTGAAACATTTCCATTGTGGTCTGTGCTATACGTTGTGAGTATTTGCAGCACGTGCTGTCAAACTGATAAAATACTTTTTCTTAATTTGCTGGTGTTTTATTCTATTTGCATGTGTGTGTGTGTGTGTGTGTTTTTTTCTCCAGTTGCAGTGCGTTGAACTCTCTTGGACACTGTATATATGTTTGCTATAAAGTCCACAGAATAATTTGCCACAAAATAATGAGCTGGATGTACACAGGAAATACGTAGTAGTAGGCACCACATTGTCGGACTACATGCATACAGGCTATTCATAGATAATTTTCCATCAATCACAGAGTTTTATAAGACAAGCAAGAGTAATTTCAGATCTGAGTGCTTGAGACAGTTAAGTGTTGGCTTCATTTTTATTGGAGAAGACCAGGCTCTTGGTTTCGGTTCAAAGGCTCTTGTAGTGGACCGCACATTCCAGGGCCCAGTTTATGGCGGGGCCTCTCTCTGACCACAATAGTGGACAAAGGTTTGCTACATTTTGATTGGATCTTGGTGGGCTAACATAAACAAACTGTCCAAAACCATCAGATAAAGATACTAGGACAACAGCCAGACACCTCTTAGAGCGCAATAAGAAGACCTTTGGTACAAAGCCCGGAAAGGACAGGACGTATCATTGGTCAAAATGCAGTTTTTGCCCTTCACCCACCAACAGACTGATTCCTACGATTTTGGCCCATAAAAAGTCCTTAGGACCTGTGGATGCAGCAGCAGTGGGAGAACCAAAGAGAGATCACAGAGTTCCATCCAAATCCATTCATAACTATATTCTCAACCCTTAAACTGATGCAAACTACAACACACATTATACTTATTCAGAGAAATAAGTATTCTCAGTGACAACAATGTGTAGTGCAACATCTTACACAAACGCTGTTAATGGACAAATGAATGCATGCATGCATTCATTTCAATCTTCTTCCATCATGTTTGGACTTAGTGACACTTTTCTAAATGTGTGTTACTATGCAAATAAGTTCCACAGGAGGAAATAAGGGTGGGCCACACTGTGTCCCCCCCC